TTTTATATTATTTTTATTTTAAATATAAATTCTAATAATTTTAACTTTAAGAATATAAATTTAAATGAATCATAGTTAATATAATTGTTAGTTGAAGATGGGAGAGAGGGTCATTTAGATTTCACATTAAACTAAATCATGATATGAAAAAATCTAGTTTCCTTTGAATATAAATAGTTTTTTATTTTTGCATTTAAAATTATTATTTTGTACGCAACTAATTATTCCTAGTTGATAATAATCAAAAGATAGTCTTCCAAACAATATGAAGTTTTTTAAAATTTTCTTTGTTTAATGTTGTCTGAATGATCTCGTATTCTGTATAAGATAATTTTTTATTCATATGTGAATATGAAAAAAACTTTGAATAGAATTGTTTTAAATAGCATCCTAGAATGATTATGAACATGCGGAAGTTGATCTCTTGATCATATGGCTCAGTAGTCTAAACGATGGATAAGTGATACATTGTATGCATATTCGAATCTAATTTTTATCCTTATATATTTCCACTTAAATTAGTCTGGACACGTCCACTAATTAGGGCTACAAATCATCCTATACTGTTCTTGCCATCCTTACTTTTCAAGTTTAAATCGTTTTCGGACGGGCATCCCTGTCATCTGTCCTGACTGGTCTTTGTTTCAAAAAGTCCTCGTCTAGGACTAGTCTGCATATTGAATAATAATGTTCTGTATCAACCGACTTCAACCCAGTCCTGTATGAGTCTTTCTCAAAAAAAAAACTTGACGAGACATGTATAATGTCGGCCGCCAATCATGTAATTTAGACAGGGCTTCAAGACGCTCAAAAACTCCTAGACTAGTCATGTCCTAGTCAAAATTGAGACAAAGGCTTAGAAGACAGGTGGACATGACTAGAAAAATGACGAATCATTCAGTCCGTCTTGTGCTTACTTGGGTTATTGACAAACTATCAATTGGCTAATCTGAAAAATCAAAAACACTATTCGGCCTGGTTTGGCCTGCAGGCAGGCCAGACCAGGCTGCAGGCTGACTTTTGAATTTTGGCCTGGTCTGCTCAGCAGGCCAGGTCAGGCTGGAAAAAAAGTGGCCTGTTGGCAGCTCTGATATGGCTCTATGGACAAAAAAATGTTAGGTGCAGGATATCATTGACAAAAAAATTAATTACATAATATCACCGACAAAAAAAAATAAGTACGTGATAATATTGATTACAAAAAAAGGCTAAGGAATAAAAAGTAAAGGTAAAGCAACAGAAAGAAAAGGTAGACAAGAGAAAAAAAATAAGACATTTAACATTTCTTAGATTAACTACGAATTTTTATTTTCGCAGAACATTTTGCAAGACGAGCATTGCGATGAGAAGTTGATATTGTTGATAGTAAATAGTGATCAATTTACATTTACGAAAGTTTAATAAATCCAAAAATAAATCTTAAGAAAATTAAATTTACAATAAATATAAATTTTTCACAGATGAAGGTTTAAGCTTCTTTTAAATCTAAATTTTAAAAAGTAAAATTTATTTTAAATATAAATCTTGAAAGTTTATTTAGGCGCAGCTTAAATCAATATGAATTTAATTTAAACTAAATAAAATTCAATTTAAATTCATTTATATGCGATTTAAATCCATTTACATTAACTCATATGTGATTTAAATTCAATTGAATGGATGTAAATTGAATTTATATTTATTTAAGCTGAGTCCAAATAAATTTTCAAAATTTAAATTTAAAATAAATTATAATTTTCATATTTGAAAAGTTTGAACCTATTTTAAATCAAAATTCGTAAAAATTTAAATTTGAAATTAGTTAACAAAACATCGTCATCTTGAATGGTCAAAGTATTTTCTAGAAAGAATGATTTATAACATATGGTTGAAGATAGAAGGTAAACTTACAAAACTTAATGATGTAAAAGTATTTACTGTTCTGTTGAGGTTTTGGTGTTTTTTCAATTGTGCCGATGGGTGTGGGTGGGTGTGAAGGTACAGGATATCCTTTATATCCACACCCACACACACCCTCAAGCTGTTAGCAATACGGTTTAGCCAACTAGCGTCGCTTTTTAGACAAGCCTTATTAAATATCCCGGTGCAAACAAGTCATTAGAGGTGGAAAAAATTAAAGAAGCTTGTCTCACTATTGAGCGCAACTGTAGAATTACTTTTATCAAAGTTAAAAAAATACTTACCCACGTCTATTTCAAATGCAGGATGAAGCCTTGACTCTGTTACAGTCGTTTGGTATGCATAATATACATCATCCATTATTTGTCGACAAGCAAAAGGTGCCAGCATGACTATTTAGAATCCTGTGTTGAATATTGCAGTTGCAACTCACCTTGCTCAAATTTTTAACTCAATGAAAGTCGACGGTGAAGTTGATAGTCTTTTATCTCACTTTCTCTTTGCTGTAATAAGATCAAACAACTTAATCTTGGCGTTCCGAATATGCCGCATATTCTTTTCATAATCTATTGCTTTAACAACTATGATTTAAAGAGCGATGATGAGTTCAAGTTGATGTATTCTTACTCGAAAGAAGCTCCAAAAATTCTCAATGTAGTTTGAGATTTCTATGCAGATATGATTAAAGCATCATATGAGTTTGAGGATTTCTTCTACCTATTCGAAAGCTCATGTTCATATAAGTAGATTGGTAGGAGCGCTTCATTCTATGTGATTAGCATCAGCTATTTTCGACTCGTTAGTATTACAAAATCAGCTTCCAGACTGTCTTGATAAGCTGAAAGAAACATTGAACAGACTAAAAGACGCTGTTTTCCATTTCAAACAAACATTCAAATAGAAAATTATTTTCAAAACTATTGCTACAGCATCTATTTTGATGAGAAACTATTATTTAAAACAAAAGAAAAATATACGCAAACTGTGAGTCTATCGAAAACTATTATCGATAAAACTTCTATAAATATATTTCCACATCATCCATGAACATTAATAATTCATAGGAACAACACAATCTTCTTCGTACCGCATGTCTGAATAATCAGCAGTACATAGCTTTTATTGTCATTCAAAATATGAAAATATACATCGACATCAATGTATTTATATTAGATAAAATAGATGACAAAATCTTGGTGAACTGGATCACATGTTTCCTTAAACACCTAAATTTCTCTGATATGAATGGATAAATAAAGTTAAGAGTGATAAACAGAAGACTGATTTATGAGCAGGATCCACAGCGCATTATTTCATTTCTGTCTTGATTTTGAAAACGGAGAGATTCCATCGAGAAAGAAAAGCATAGTCTTAGAATGTATCCTTTTCTTAATATTCGTGTTCAATACTCGTTTGTCAAGTGATAATGATGATTGGATGCATATCGGATCATTTTCTATTTCTTATATTTTGACATTGAAAGCGAATTTCAGGTAAAGTGGATCACAGTGCTGAAGAAATATTGGAACGATTTCAGAAAGAAGAAAAGTTGGAAAAAACAGTGACTAATCGACGCCCAGAACGAACCATTCTGCTGACATCGGAAGTCAAAGTACTCTGGTCTTTTGTCAGTCGGTATTATGAAAGAACAACAACATACTTTATAAAGACAGTTGTAGACAAAAACTGAGATATAAACAGTTTTAATAAATTCGTCAGCACACTGACTACTTATTCGATTAAAATAATACAATACATAGATGTCTACAAACACCCAGATTTCCATGATTTTATGGAAGACCATGATAAAAAGATGAATAGCACTTCTCACGTCGATGATACTCTTTTAGTCCAAAGTCAACAAACAAACCACCTCTGACATCAATCGGTGTTCAATAAATTACAACCATTCATACTCCTTCCATCTCATTGCAACGATACTCGCGAGTCCAGCAAAAACGGAATATCTACTATTCATGGCTATCTACACTTTCTCCACCGTCTATTCTTTTCATTTTTACTTAAGATGTGATATCTACGAAATCTCCAATTAAGAAAAATACAAATGCCAGTTCAATGACAACGATTAAACAATTGACATTCCACATTTCATGATTTTAAAACCTTGTTGTACTTA